CATTTAAATTAATTTGGAGTTAAGACTGAAACATTATACTAAACTGAAAAAAAATGAAGAAAGATCCACATGTATGTCCAAGATGAGGAATTTGTTTTATGTTCAAATTGTGGATTTTTCTTCCAGTGTTTGAGTCAAACTTATTCATTTCTAAGACATTCACAACTGTGCAGCCACTGGATTTCTTCCAGGGTGTGTCATTGTATTTAAATGAGCTGTTGACCAAAAGTTCAATGAAAAAAAAAACCCATTACTACAAAACTTCCCAAGGTTTGTATTTTCCTCTCACGTGAGTCTTGATGTCGGGAAAAAAATCCCAAATGTAGACCATGTGTCAGACTGAGACAGAGAGGTTTGTAGAGTGATTAAAAAATAAGGAAATCTGGTTTTGGACAGACAACTCATCGAAACATGGTTTCAATCTGGGAATATTGAAACTGCAGGAAGTGAATCCATTAACTCATATCAGTAGTGATATGAGAACAAATTGTGTTAAATAATATCTAGAAATAAAGGAAGTATAATCCAAAGACCATGACCTTTTTGATCTATTTTCCTTTAAAGTAAAGTGCCATTTGAGGAAAGAGTCTTTACTGTCCTGAAGTGGCTGCAGCTGCCAGATAATGAAAGGTTGGTTCCTCTTCATTAAATGTTTATCCTAAAAATATTATTGTTAAATGTGTTTTATTATTATTATGATTATTTTGTAACAAAAAATGAACTATTTCCCCTCAGGCCAGATTTCTACACCTTATATTTGGAGGAACCTGATAAATCGGGACACACATTTGGTCCTGTCAGTGGAGGGGTGAGTTCACTTCATTAGAAAATAATAAGGAAGAAATAAATCTGTTAATYAGTAAATAACTCACTWTCCTTMCAGGTTATTATYATGTTTTGCACATGATAKTATTAGCTTAGTGTTGTCAAACATRTGAAAGTCRAACAATTTATCARTAATGTTTGTTAGCYATGTTAATGCAGCACRTTACCATGAGTTGTAAAAAATGTCACTCATTGCATAGTGTTAAAAGTCAGATTCAATTATTTATTTACCTTCCTTCCTACCTACCTACCTACCTACCTACCTACCTACCT